AACCGGAGTCTCTTCACGGGCCTGCGCTCTGTCACCCACTTTGGTCGCCCCCCCTTTGAGGCCTTCTTCAACTCCCTGCAGGAGGTTCACCCACAGGTCAGTTCCCCCGCCCCCCCATCCAGGGTCTCTTCAGTTTATCCTCTGAGCAAAGCTCCCAAACCTGCTCCATCAGGGAAGCTATTGACTGCCGATGAGAACCCATCACCCCCTGGGAAGTTGGTGGGGTAACGAGATGGGAAAGGAGAAGAGGGGGTCACCCTGAGGGGGAAGTGGGGAGGCAGGCAACAGGGACTTGCCACTTCTGAAGCCATGATGCCTTCCTTGTTCAGAAGGAAGATCTCAGTGATTGAGCTAGTCCTCACCATAAACTCAGAGCTACCCTTCACACTAATGCTGAGCCAGGCCTCATCCTGGACACTGAGCTAATTTTCACCAGGAACACTGAGCAAGCCACTGCTCTCATAAGCACTGGGTGAGCCCTTAATGAGACACTAAGCTATCCCTCAACTTGAACATTGATTAACCCAGCCCCATATCGGAAACTGCTCTTGAAGCTTGCACTTGAAGCTGGCAAATGCTTGGAAGGGGTAGAGGCTGGACCCACAGACAGAAGGTCTACTAAAATCAAGTTAGATTTAAAAACACCAAGCTGGCCCTCACCAGGCATGGTAGAAGCAAACTTTCACAGGAATGTGGGATGAGCCCTCATCAGGGATGCTTCATGGCTTTAACATGGGCCCTGATCTAGCCCTCACTTCTTCCTTCCCCACCAGGTCCGGAAGATTGGGGTGTTCAGCTGTGGCCCCCCTGGCATGACCAAGAATGTGGAAAAGGCCTGTCAGCTCATTAACAGGCAGGACCGGACTCATTTCTCCCACCATTACGAGAACTTCTAGGCCTCCGCCCAGGGGCTCCACCCACTGCCTGCTGAGCAGAGGTTTGGGTCATACCTCGCCTCACCTCTGCACTTCCTGTTTCTGGTTCCCTCACCTTCTCCCCACGCCCACCTGCCAACCTCGGTCCGGGTGGCCATGGTCAGTCACCGCATGTGGGTCAGGGACCCCCAGACTCATAGTCTCAACCTGGAGAAGTGGGAGGCACTGTCCAGGGACTAGAGGTTGGGAGCTATTACTGTTTGGGGGCAAAATGACATCTCTTCTTCCAAACCAAGAAAAATTTCAAAAGACTGGGGCTGACAAGTGGCAAGTTGTGTGTGTGTGTGTGTGTGTGTGTGTGTGTGTGTAGGGGGCTGTGAGTCTAAGGATGAAGTGGGAGCACAGATGCTGGCATCTTAGAACTCCTCCCCTAAGTCCTCTGGGCTTTCCACTGTCAAAAGGGCTGGCAAATGCCTTCAAGGGGACAGAGGCTGGACCCCAGAGACAAATTTATAGGAAATCTCTCAGCACCTCAGTTTGACAGCACAATTTATCTTCTCTCCCAAGTTCTTAAACAGGTTCTGTAGTCAGAACCTGGCTCAATATCTCTCTATGTAGTGCTCTTCAGACGTTCCCTGCTCTTCTTGTTCCATAGCCTCCTCTACAAATAAACCACTTTTCTGCCCCCTGGGTTGCTTTATTCTGCCCCAGGATGGGGTAAGCACTGGCAGAAGAAGCCACTCAACCGGCCGGCTAACAGGCCAATGCAGACATTCTCTGAGCTTGCTAGTATCCTCTGAGTAAAGGAACCCGTCCAGGCCAAACACCCCAGCTAGAGACCCCTTCCCCTGCTCAAGGGCACCCTTCCTGACAGAGAGCCTCTCTGAGTGGCGAGTGTGAGTCTTCTGAAGCCTGCTCAGGAGGGGGCGAGGTGTGAGGGGTTTTGGAGAAGGTGGACTGGGCACAAGGGGTGTGGGATGGGGGCGGAGACACCCAGGAGCCAACAGGGAGGCAGAGTTGGCCGGGCCTGCTCCAGGACCTGTTACTCCTAGTCCTTCTCTGAGCTCTAGGTAGTGAGATGATAGCAAGGAGATAGATGAGCACATCACCTAACCTTTTTGGAGCTGTTTTTGCATCTACAAAATGACTGAATGCCCTCCAAGGTTACTTAAAGAGAGGGCAACCCTCTCCGAGGGAATTTCTGAAGCAGTGCCCAATTTCAAGTGATTCTTTCTATTGTCTCCACAGAATTCTTACATTTGTCAGATCTCATATCCTCCGTCCGGATCCCTGATAAATTAACCACTGGATTAGAACACCCAAAATCTCATGATTCACATCACATTTCGGAACTGCAGATCTAGGTTCTGGAGGTCTTCTGACTGTCCTCCCAAGGCAGCCATTCCCAGGGTGTGTTCAGCCCCTCGTAGAGTTTTTTGTTCCGCTTGCCCAGGGGAGCAGGAGGGCAGACCTGGAGTGGCTTAACAGCAGCCCTGCCTGGCGGCCCAAGGGTATAGCCGGGAGCTGGGCCCACAAGCCTCAGCGGTTTGCAGCAGGGGCGCATTGGTGGCCACCGGCTGGTGTGATCCCGCGCCCGGGTC